CAGTGCCAAGACCGACCGAGAACCGCCTGAGGTCTCGGTCTGCGAAAGAGAGGTCGGTCCAGTCCTTCTGAATTGGGACGTGAGACGTTTGTTGAAATAGGGAGACCGGGCACCCAATTTGATCCCGAACTAGGGAAAAAAGACCAGTCTACTCCTTGGTTTGTGTTTTCTTTCCTCTCCCTATTCAAGGTACACGCCCCATATCCTTCAATCCCATCTGTTTTGGGGAAACCGAAACGCCACCGCGTTTTTCGTCCGCGGGAGTCTTGTCACACGTGTTCTGGGGCGGTCGTCTCCGTCGAAAGGATCAGTTCTCATCGAAAGGACCACGTTCTGATTACATCCAAAGGACTGATCAGTTCTCATCCATCGTGAGATCAGCTTTCATCCTCTTCTGCTCTCTGCCATTTGCTCCTGATTGGTGAGTATGTATGAAAACGCACAACCGAAAAAGGGGACGCTCGAGCCTGAAGAACAAACACCGAATGGTGACCGTTGAAGAACAAACACCCTCACTATACCCAAAAATCTTGGAATCCAAGTTATTTGGTACTTAGTATGGTGTGATCAGGCCATGATTTGGCCCTGCCCTGCTCCTGAGGCGATTGGCCGCTTGCTCTTCCCTCGCACGTTTGCGCTTCAACGCTTCCTCCTTCTTTCGCTGCCACAAGACCTTCCGGCGCTGGTTCTCTGCCATTTGCTCCTGATTCTTCAAGGCCTTGTGCCATCGAAGAAGCAACTTCCTGACCAACAGCAGCTTGTTGATTGCTTGTCTTGGTTTCCTCTTGACACGAGTGTCATTCTTGCGCATATGCTGTCGTTCCCAACGCTGCAAGTGTTTGTCACGAATACCTGCGTGCGAGGTGTACCGCGCACGTATTCTCCGCAACGGGGCTGCGCTGCGACCTTCCCCAGCGCTTTCCCACATCTCTTTGACCACCTCTTGCATATGCGTCCACAAGCCCTCAAGGTCACTCGGGCCATAGCGCCCAAAAATGGCCCCCGAGTTCTGACCAACCTTGGTCTTGCACTTGCGAAATGGTGTCAGGAGACTGTGGAGCTTCGCAACTTCTTGGGGTGATCGAACGGTAGGAGACCGGAGTCTGTGTCGCCCAAGAAGGATGCCAATTTTGAGGTCTAAATAAAAACGGGGGCTGAGGTCTTCATAGCTCCTGCCAGGGTTTCTTTTGGCTTTCTAGACACCAAGCAAAACAAGTTCCCAATGAAGGCACTTTGTTGGTCATTGAGCACATTGTGGTGCAAATGGACAGCAAATGATAATGGCTGCTTAACCTTCTTAGCCTTTAAGATTCAGAAAAAAAAAGCAAACAATGGACAATCGCTTCTGTCTCCCGCGCCTGCCATGCTCAGCTAGGGATTGCTCCAATGCTTCTTCAAGCCGACTTCTGAACAAGGCTTCAGAATCCTGCGAGGCACCTTGCATTCTCTGCGTCACCGATGATAAGATGATCAAGAACTCAATGGCCGTTGGCAAATCACACGCCCTTGTGGATATACAAAGTGAAACCAAACCCACCTTGGCTTTGTATCTCCTCCCGCTTCTGAACACACCTCTCATCTCTGTCTTCTGTTTTTTCTGTTTTTTCTTTGCCCTTCCAAATCTGACCAGGGCAGGAATCAAACTCAACGTTGCCTCGGATGCTGACGCTTCGGACAGTTGTTTACGCTTCGGGCCAAGAAGCATGCAAGGTGCATCAGCGGCCGCCTGGGATGCTGTGGTGGATCTGTCAGCTGCCTCTTTTGGATCGTCATTTGAAGACTTCGCCTTGGAAGCTGCTTGCTGAGTTTCTCGCTCACTCTCCGCTTCACGCTGAGTCACAATCCACTTCTCAAAAAGCACACGCTGCTTCTGCGTGAACTCCTTTTGGATGATGTCACTGCGGACTTCACGCGTCAGTCCCTTCATGAGTTCGTAGAGCTTCGTCAGCAGCTTGTCATGCGAAAACACCTTCGATGCATTCGCGGATGGCTTCGAAGCGCCTGACGCCTGACTTGTGTGCTCCGGCTTTGGTGTTGCTTGACGCTTCTCTTGAGGCTGTGCCGGCTTCTTCTTTGGCTTCGCCTTCTGCTTCGGTGCCGACGCATTGCTGGTCACTTTGTGAGTGTCGTAGCGCTCACGGGCTTCTGGATCCGCCAAGGTCTCAAAGGCTTGGTAGACCAAATGAAAGGCCTCCTTGCTTCCACCTCTTCACAGGGTTCGAGAAACCTTCCACCATCCCCTCGAAAGCGAGAACATCAGTATAACATCGAGAAGAGCTCAAAGCTATATGAATTGGGAACATCAGTATATGATATGTGCATGTATGTGCATACACCATGGTGCTTTGAGACACTTCTATCCACAAAAAACCTCAGCATTATTTTTTTCACTTGGATGGTCGCCACAGGTCTATTTTCAGGAGAAGTCTTTCTGTCCCTTCCTTTCGCTCAATTCGACCTCGGGTCACCCTGAACATTCGATGCGCGCTCAAGGACCATGGTGCTTCGCCCCGGGTCACCCACGTCAAGGTGACCCAACATCCAACCGCGTGACCTTCGCACCAGGACCCCATCACAGTTCATCAGGACCGGCCCGTGAGGTCACTCGACCCGATCCTTTCGGGCCGATTTTTGGGAACTCAACCAAACCTGCATGGCTGGGGCTCAACACCGGTGTTGGGGATGGCTTTATGTTTTGGGTCGCCTCCACCACTCTTAAAGCATCAAATCGGAAAGCAGGTGTTTAAAAGCCAGTCATCTGAATCTGGTGAGTCCCTTTGGACAACTCAAAGACCAACCTCTTCTCTTGGAGCCTGAAACCCATCCACAGAATGGTTTTTGAGCCGACTGGGAAGAGAATCAGGATTTGTTCTTCAAAATGTTGTTGTGTCGGATTCTGAAAGCCGAAACCCAGTCGCAAGGGGAAGGGACTCAGATTTGTCTTCATGCTAGGGTCAGCCGTTGGTTCGATTGTGTGGATGTGATCTAGAAGAATCATTCCACATATTGATGGCCAAAACCCTCCACCAGTCGCCAAACGATCACCATCAACAGGTGATTTTCATCCTTTCCGATCTGAGAAAGTGGGCAGTCCACCAGTCCGCTCACAAATCGAGGGATCAAGTTGGTGGGTGGTTTCAACTTGAAAAACAAATTAGTTAGATTTAGTTAGTGGGTTCTTTCTCATCCCAAGTAAACCCTAGACTTCCAAGACCATGGAACAAATGGTTGACCCGGTTTTTGTAGTGTAAAATCCTTAGTTGATTCGATAACGCCTATTAAATTAATCGTGGTTGGAAGCCTATAGGGTAAATGTTGACCATAAACAAGTCGCAAACCACCCAGATAACAAAGACTGTCTTCACCAACGATTCGGCAGTTCACCCTGGATCTACGAGAGGAGGCCAATCCCAAGCCGCAACTGATTCTGTGACGTCGGGACAAACATTCACCAGCACCCTTCCAAAGCAGCTTCCGGGCTAACTTGCAACCCCATTTCAATGTCAAAGAAGGAGATTGGACTGGCTTTTCACACATGGAAACATGCCATTTTTCAGCACCCCCAGCCTTTGTCCGGATGGACCTGCAAGGCGCGTCGCTTGAAGGCCAATTTGATCTCCTCCGTCGTGGCATCTGCTGCCACACCCAGCAGCCCATAGAAGGATGCTCTCGCCATGGCGTCCCGATGTCAATGTGCCCAGGGCTTTGGACTAGAGAAAGGTCTTGGATTTCATGGAGATTTCGCCATCGATCTGCGTTCAGGCAAAAAGTCTGGGAGATTTTCGGTAGAACTATGGAGAGGCTCACTGTACCATTCGGGGAGCCTTTGGTTGTACACTGCCTCATAAAGGCTTCCGACGGCTTTCCGGCTTTCCTGGAGAACACCAGAACCATGGATCTTCAATCGACTGCTGGATCCCTTTTTCCTGCGGGCGGTAAACATGGACACCTCTTGACCTCCGGGGTGCTGGCTGTGGTTGACTTAAGTCCGTTAGTCCTCAGTTCTTTGAAGGATCAACGGCAACGTTCGTCCATCATGTTGCCCTACGGCCTTCCCCTGAAGGAAGAATCTGTTTTTGAAGGGATTGTGTCAAGAAGAGTCTACCTACTGACCTACTGCTCCAGGAAGAGTATTTTTACCTGCTGCGTTTTCTTTGTTTCACGTCCAGCGGGCCAGTGCCGGGCTTCGGACCTGGCGCACCGGTCAACCGGGTGAAGTCCGAGCACGGTCGACGCGTCCGGCCCTGGTGCCTTCGACCAGTCCGGGGCATTTTCTCACGTGCCAGGTGAGGGGTGCCCATGATCCACCGAACTGTGAGTTTTGAACTGTTTTGGGGTGAAGGAACTCACCTTCACGAGTTCCGAAACTCTGAAAACCAAAAACCAGCCAGGGCAGGGGGTCAAAACGGCCAAGTTCTCAACACCTGAGGGACGGATGTCTTGCTGAAGCAAGGGACCGGATGTCTCCTTTGAGGCTTGTCGTGAGACAACCGCGACGGGCGAAACGACCGCCCGGGACGGCTCAGACGGGGTCCGAGGGTCCTGGGCGACCATTCAACCGACCCGATGTGCAGGTGACTGAGTGCACCGTTGAAGTGTATCGCCGTGGCCGAATCCCGAAAATAGCCTGAATCCCGAAGAAGCCTTATTTTACTCGAATTTGTCACTAAACCAACACAATGGGGTATGATTCGTGCCCAACACCAAAACGGGACAGAAAGGAGTGGAGAGCTCTGAGAGCTCTCAGGATCGAGCAACAAGGATTGAGCCTTTCCCGATGAGATTGTGCGGAATCCGGTGATTCCATCTACTATATGGAGAAACATCTTTGACGAACCCCTTTTCCCTAGTGTATACCCAAAAAAGCTATCCATCCATCCATATCCATCCTTAGAAGCCTTTTGAACACCTCTTAAACATGCTCTTGACACGTACAGCCTCGCTTCCTTTCCTGCCACTTGGCTCCGCTGGCCTCCGGATTTCCACGCTCCGGCCGCTCCTCATGGCTTCGCTCCTCATGGCACGTTCCAAAGCGTGCTTTTGGAAGAACCAGGGTCTTTCTCACCGCAAACGCTGTAGACGGTAGGACTGTAGACACCGAAAAAAAAGAAAAACGAGACCTTTTTTGCGAACGTGAACAGATTCGTCTCCGATGTCGGACATGCCGAAACCCATGGTGACTGGTGACCGCCTTTCGCTCCACCGAGCGACCGGTCGACCGGTCGAAAGCGATCGAAAGCGACTGGTCGCGGGTGGGGTTCCGTTCACCGATGTTTTTCCAATAACCGCATCATCGGTTTTTACAGGAACCGGAAGGTTTTACAGGGATGTTCGTTGTGTCATCCGTGTGAGGAGCTGCTGAAGCATGCGAGCGCCAGCTGTGTTTCACATGGGAAAGACTGTATCATGGCATCAAAGTTACCAAGTTCTGAGGGAACAAACAGAAAGATCATTGTCCAAACACCTCTGGCAGAGGGACCAAAGAACATGAATCTTCATTGAGGCTTTGATGATCCTGGGGAATTGTTTGGACATCTCGTGCTTCACAGTGTGGCGGTATGTGCCACACAGCTTTATACCATTGATACCATGAAGCTGCACCTACCTATGATGGTGATGATAAACCTTAGCAAACATGCTGAGAAACCCTGAACGCTTCTGTTCCTTACAATCAAATATGTAGTCCCAACATACCTGGCTCAGCATCAAAAAGACCCGGCGACACTCTACACCTCTCTAAAATCGCATCCAAGAAGCCCAGGATCTCATCCATCGTGAGGTCAGACCTCATCCTCTTCCGCAAAGCTTCCCTCCTCACATCAGTTCTACCCGACCCGACAAATGCACGGGGGATCCTTCATTTCAAACAAAGCCCTATAAAGGTGTGGTGACACAACATATAGAGGTCCTCACCACAAACAGAAACGACAGAAACAAGTTCCATAAATGCAACATGGGATCACCGTTAGTCTTCTACTTCGTTTTTTCATCACCGTGATCCATTTGGGGGTCACTCCAATCGTTCGCTTGTACCACCAGGTCCGCTCGCCCCGCTCGCCCCGCTCGCTCCTCAAACGTTCAGCCTGCTGCTCCTCCCTCATGCGCTTCCGACTCAAGACCTGTTGCTTCGCAAAAGCATTTCGCGCTAAAGCATTTCGCCATTGGAGAAGCAGCCTCCTCACATGGAATTTCTGGTCTTGCATAGCCATACGCTGTCGCTCCCAATGCTGCAAGTGTCTGCTTCTCACAGGTGCGTGAGAAGTGTACAAAGCGCGCATTCTCCGCAACGGCGCTGCGCTGCGACCTTTTCCAGTGTTTTCCCACATCTCTTTGACAACAGCTTGAAGACGAATCCACACATCATCAAGGTCACCAGGGCTGTAGCGCACGAAAATGGCTCCTTTTTTCGCGCCCGGCTTCAGCACCAACTCGCGAAATGGCGCCATGAGATTGCGGAGCTTGGCAACTTCTTGGGCTGAGCGAACGGTAGGGGACTTGATGGTCTCTGGGCCAAGAAAAATGCCAATACTTTGTTGCAGGAAAAAGCGGGGGCTAAGGTCTTCGTAGCTCCTGGCGGTGTTCACCGTCAGCTTCCAGAAACCAAACATAGCCATAAGCCGATGAATGCTTTTTTGCTAGACATGGTGAACATCTTCAGCTTTGACTCGGAAAGCTTGTCCCTAGAAGTCCAAAGACTGTACTTTTCCATGGGGGAGCAAAGACAATTTCCTTTCAAGTCCCCTAATAGCAATGGCCTCCGACCTAGAAGCAAGGTCTTTCTTTTGTTCTTTCTTTTTATAGTCTTTGACTCCCACAGTTCTTTTTCTTCCCTCCTGCCTGCCGTACTCAGCCAGAGATCGCTCCAGTGCTTCCTGAAGTCGACGTCCGAAGAAGGCGTCTTCCGCATCCGCATCATTCGAGGCACCTTGCATTCTCTGCTTCACTGATGTCAGGATGATCAAGAACTCAACGGCTGTTGACAAATCGCAGTTCCTGGTGTAGATTCGAAGCGAGTCAAAACCCACCTTAGCCTGGTACTCAGTACCACTTCTGAACATCCCCTTCATCTCTGAATAATGTTTCCTCTTGGTCTTCTTCTGAAACCTCTGCTTGGCCTGTGCAGGAACCAAGCTTACAGTCATGCAAGGTGCATCATCGGCGGCCGCGGATGCTGTGGTGGATCTGTCAGCTGCCTCTTTTGGATCGTCATTTGAAGACTGCGCCTTGGAAGCTGCTTGCTCAGTTTCTCGCTCACTCTCCGCTTCACGCTGAGTCACAATCCACTTCTCAAAAAGCACACGCTGCTTCTGCGTGAACTCCTTTTGGATGATGTCACTGCGGGCCTCCCTTGTCAATCCCTTCATGAGTTCGTAGAGCTTCGTCAGCAGCTTGTCATGCGAAAACACCTTCGATGCATTCGCGGATGGCTTCGAAGCGCTTGACGCCTGACTTGTGTGCTCTGGCTTTGGTGTTGCTTGACGCTTCTCTTGAGGCTGTGCCGGCTTCTTCTTTGGCTTCGCCTTCTGCTTCGGTGCCGACCCAGTGCTGGTTGCTCTCTGAGTGTCGTAGTGCTTCCTTGCTTCGGGATCCGCCAAGGTCTCAAAGGCTTGGTAGACCAAATGAAAGGCCTCCTTGCTCCCACCTGACGATTTGACTTTAGGGACTGGCAGCCCCACACCGACGTGTCGAGTGACTCGTCCTTCTACGTACTATACTGGTTGGTGTTTTCAACCCAATTGAAAAATATGAGTCAGAGGGTCCAATCATCCCCAATGGCCCAAGTAAGGGTTGAAAATAAACATATCCGAAATGATCTCCTAGCATCTACAGTTCTATAGGTCATTAGGTCTACAGTTCTTCAAGAGTTGAAACACCCAGCATCTCAGGAGACCCAGCGTCCGATCGCTCCGTTCGTAGCGATGCCCTTCTCGTTACGGTCGTAGCGATGGCTTCCACCTAGTAGCTTCTTGTTACGTAGTAATGCCAGAAGCTACGTGCGTAGCTTCTTGCTACTAATAGCGCACCACGCCTGGTCCCGCAAGGCTTCCGCGTCGTCCGCCCTCCATCGTGCCTTTGTCCGGATGGACCTGCAAGGCACGTCGCTTGAAGGCCAATTTGATCTCCTCCCCCGTGGCCTCGGACGTCACACCCAGCAGCCCATAGAAGGACACCATGGCGACGACGAAGTCTCGCCGGCGAGCATGGCGTCGAGATGATGGCACGGTCGCGTTGAAACGACCCAAGTGAAGCTAAGTTTATACTGAACATTTGCTAAGAAACACTAGACTTAGCCAAGAAGTTCTTTCAAAAACACTCCTTAGCTGAGTTTGCTTTCAGAAAATCTTCAGGCCTTACAGTTTTTTGGAGGAAGCTTTTCTCGAAGCCTGTATCTTTGGTGTCCATACATTTGCAACATCAACACATACAGTATTTGATGTGCCTTCCCCCATGATTTTTCATGGGTGAATACGTTTTCATTTGCCACCGCCAAAGCGAATCCAAACTTCCAAGATGTCCTGTTGGCATGAGCGAATCCGCTTTGTATGTATGCTTTGTGCAGCCAATTCACTAAGGTCTGAGAACTCTCACCACTCACCACGGCGCACACAGCCGCCCAGCCGCCGGAAACCGCATCGATCGACCGAGTCGCTCCGGACGTCTGGACCGGTCCGTCGGTGCGAACCGACGGATACGTAGCCGCTACGGCCATCGCTAGTCGCCTAGACAGTCGACTGAGGGCCGGCAGCTATTTGAGTGAATTCTTCTTTTTCCCTTCGATGTATCACAAAAAGACACCTCGTAGATCCCAGTGGGCCATTGGCCGATTTCAAAAAACACCTGCAAATTGCCTGCAACACATGAATCGAGCAAGCGACCCATCACCACCGGCCCCATGTCAAGCTTTACTCCCTCGCCATCCTTTCGCCATTGCCCACACGAGCCCCACACGAAACATGCCAGTGCTGACTGGGGGAGGAGGAGGTCCTCCATTCTTCCAGAAAAACGACATCAGCGTCTCGCACCCCATCCAGTCTGTTGAGTCGGAGCTACCAGTCATCGACCCGGAGAACGACGTCACCGGGGCGCCACGGACGTCGGCTCGGCTCCGTCGGGCCCCGAAGCGAATCGGACGTCCGCAGAGTCAGGAGACCCCCGGACGGGTGCTGACGATGCGACCGAAACAGGTCCGAGCGAATTCCAATTAGGTGATCTGGGTCTCACCGACATCGTATTCACCACTGCGTATCATTTGCTCCAGAGAATTTGGGCCGGACTCCCTTTCTTCCAACACTTCCATCTACCTTCCTGTCTCCCCCTCATCCAAAACCAGGTCGAAACTGACCGACCTCCTCCCCGATCTCCCCAGGGCCGCCGGACTCCACGTTCACGTCCGCAGACAAGGACTGCCGCAGCTCCACGTTGAGTCGACCGATGGAATTCTGCGTTCACGGCGAAACGGCGAGACGAAACGGCGGCGAGTTCACAAGGAACGCGAAGAGACCTCATGGGGAGACCCATGACACCACTGAAGGTACCCGTCGCAATTCATGTGTCATGGTGTCTCTTCATGTGTCATGTTTTCAGTCTTCAAGGGAAGAACCACCTTTTTGGACCGCCCCAGGTGTGTCAAGAGAAGACATGCGGATCTGAGAATCTGGGTTTTTGCCATGGCTTACAGCTTCGGCCCTTGAAAACCTCAAGAACTCAAGACTAAACATACTCCAATTCAGCCATCGGCCTGAGGAAGTGTGGAGTTGCAAACACCAAACTCAGATTTTTCCTACGTCCCACTCTTCTCTAGAAAAGCTTTGTCTTCCATCAAGCGCTTTGCGTATTCCTCAAAAGTCTCACTGCCCTGCACTTCTGGAGCTCGCTCTGTGAATTTCAATCAAAGACGAAGAGCAGAGTTCAAGACTGGCTGGAGAAGAAGAGTCACGAAGATTGTCTTGGGGACACTGAAGATGACAACCACTTTCACGTTCCGAAGCCAAAAACAATCCAAAGAAGATTCTTAAAGGATTGAAGAGATTCACCAAAAACCAAATCCCACAAACAGCAATTATTGCAAAAGTTCAAAACGCAGCAACGAAGCTTCTTCCGTTTTGCTTCCTCCCCACGAACCAGCGGGACAACCGATGTCACTGCAATCACAGTGTTGTAAGGATCAGCTCTCAGCTTGGAATGCGACGGTCCGAGGGACATGCGACATCCAATCTGATTCGCTCGTTCCGTGTGTCGATGAAGTGGTTGAACCTGAACCAACGCTGCCATGCCGCGTTTCACCCGAATCTTCTGCTCATCGCAGTTCATCCACCAATTCCAGAGGTGGAACCTGAACTAGTACAAGATTCCCAATAGTACAAGTACCCCATGGTGATGGTCCGAGTTTCCATACGGTCGTCTATACCCTAGGAGTCAAAGACTATAAAAAGAATGGTCTGACTAGGGGACCTGAAAGGGAATTTCCTTTACTTCAGCCGGTCAAAATATAGTCGAACTGGACTTCTAGGGTATAGACTTCCAATTCCCTACGGACCTGCTGTGGCACACCATTTCCAAACATCCACGACCGAGCCCACGAGCAGGTCGTACTCGTTGGTCCGTCGTCGCTGCGGATTGGACCGTGACCATCGGACCATCACCGGGTACCGAATTATGGGATAGTCGAACTACGGTTCTGACCCTCCTCTCTTGGGATTCTTTGTTCCGAAGCTGCCCTTTGCACACGAGGCTTCCTCTCCCCCTTCTACCGACTGTTCGAATTCGAAGCGTCACGTGACCGTGGCCCATGAAAACCACCCACCCGAACTTCGGTCGAGGTTGGCGCGAAACGTCTGCGCCGCGGTTGTCGCGCGATCCGTCCGCGGCGGTCCGTCGCGCTACGCCTCGAGCCAGTGATCCAGTTGGAGCTTGCTCCAGATCAGCCCTACTTGGTTGTCTTTACACATGGGTAAGCCTGTTTTCGTCTTGGTACCGATGGAACCCAACTTGGCGCTTTGATTTGGAGAAGACGGGGTGCCATAAACTTCTCAGCATGTGGACGATCCAACCCCCCCCTGTGTCACAAACAACTTGCAATCTGCCGTTTCCCCACTCCCCACAGAGCTTTGAGAGTACGTGTCTGAACACCATCTGTGGAAAAGACATCTAGCTGCCAATCTGTGTGAATATAGGGCGACCAGGCTTGGTTCAGGGTCCGTCGAAGGTGGCTTGTGGAATTGAGTTGTATGTTGATGCGGTATCCGAGCATGGCCTCATGGCTGAGCACTGGATTGTTGGGGAGTTCATCGAATTCTGGAAAAGTATTTAGTTCAATCGCTGGTCCCGCGATCGTCCCAAAATCGGGTGTCCCATGGAGTGGGCCCAGGTCGTCCACCAGCGTTCGTTCCAGGCGTCTTTCTTGCTAGCTAGGCATTCGAAGTTCCGTTCAGCCTGTTCTGGTCATCAGAATGGACCATGATCAAACTGTTCGCTTCTTGTCAACTTGTGCGCAGCGTTCGCATCGCTGCCTTCTGTGAAAAGACAGGTATGCGTTTTCTTATTCCAAGACCCACCAAGACAAGACCTTCCTGGAAACCCAGTGGTTGGTAGACCACCCTAGGCCACGGCCTCGGCCTTTTATAGAATTCGATGGCCTCTACCTCACCTTTAGCCCTAGCTAAGTGGCTGCGCCGACCATGACTCATGGTGCGAGCAAAACACTGGGACATACTGGGACTCTGGGCGGGGTGATGTGCGTGATGTGGTACTAAATGGCACTGGTTCGAATCAAAAGGACCTTTGGTTGACCACCGAAGAGGAACCGAATAGATCACCAAAGCAGGTCAACAATCAGGGTCTTGACCCGCTGTCCGATCACTACCAGGACCTTCGGCCATGCCGCCGCCGATGGCGTCCCCCCGTCCCCGATTCCCCGTGGCTGCACGACGAGTGGCAGCACGATGCCTGCCGTGGTGCCCGCAGCGGCAGGGACGGGCGCCCGGGTGGGTTCAAGGGTGAAGCGAGGAAGTGGTTGGTTTGTCGAGCCAGGAACTGGCTCGAAACTGCAAAGGATCTGCATTGGCCCGCACTCCAAAGGTATTATACATGACTGACATATCTCTGCATGCACGCATGTATTTCAAACATCCTGGATGTGACTCAAAAGTTCCTTAACTTTGGCCCTTTCAAAGCATGCAAAGCACCGTGCAGGCCCAGTAGAATGGCTCTCCCAGTCAACGCCAAGAGGTTCCAATGTGCTCATGCATCTTCATGTACTCCTCCGGAAGATCTCTCACACACCAGAGCCTCTCTCTTGTAAGACAGTTAGTCAGTGCTGGTGAACCATGGTGAACCTCATCCCTGACCAGACGAAGAACTAACCAAAGTCGTCACCAAGGTCGTCGCTCATGTGTGAATTGGCCGACCCAAGCCCGATGACACCGATGACCTCGCCGAAGCAAGGGATTCTTCCAACAAGATCGAAGGCACAGAAAGGGTGGATCTGGACCGGAAAGACTGTAAGTTCCGGTCGAGGGGTCACACCAAACTCCGACCCACTCTATCAAAGAAACATAAAACAAATGGTACTTTGAAAGACCTTTGTACTTTCTACAAACCAGCAACCTGGAACCCCGAAGGGGAGGTTAATGGACACCCCTTGACCTCGAAGGGGCTATTCATGGACACCGTTTCCATGGTAAAAAGACTCACGAACGAACTAGCGAAGACCACTTCCAAGATGAAGGAAAAACACACCGAAAGGATTGTTTTCCAATTCATACCTTGCAAGGTCACCTCCTCTCAATCCGCACCAGTTCACCACACCACCCACCTCAGAACCGTCCAGTCGGATATGACGTGACCCGGGCCACGGGCCCCAGAATGGAAGGATCAGAATGCCGGACACGGCGTACCTCGGCGATGCCACCACACCACGCGGCGATGTCGAGTACGTCGGGAAGCGTCGAACGGCGCGTCGTGTGGCGAAACGTACGTCCGTGACGATGGTCACGTCCGGAGCGGAATAGACTGGAGGTCTTTCGCAAAGCAAGCGAATGAAACAAAGAGTATACATGTTTTTTCACCAAATAATATCGGCGGGGTGATTCAAAAACCTTGGCCTTGGCCGCAGGATGAAGATCAAAAACGTCTTGTATTTGTTGGGTGGGTGGCCGCTGCAAAACGATGGGGGCCGTTTCTAATTTTGTTGGTTCATAGATGTGGAGACAAGAGACGTGCGCAAATGCGCTGATTTGGTGGAACCCACGAACCCGAATGCAAACACTCAAACAATTTTTGACACTCTTGTAGCAAACACTTTTGTGGAACACTCGGTCGGACACTCTTGTAGGACACTCTTGTAGGACACTTTTTTTGGGACACTCTTGTGGGACACTCTTGCGGAACACTCTTGCAGGACACTCTTATGGGACGCTCTCGTGGGACACTTATGCACGACACTCTTGTATGTCACTCTTGTGGGACACTCTTGTGGGGCACTCTTGTCGGACACTCTTGTGGGGCACTCTTGTAAGAAACTCTTGTCGGACATTCTTGTGGGACACTCTCATAGGACACTCTTGTCGGACACTCTTGTAGGACACTCTTATATGGGACACTCTTATATGACACTCTTGTGGACAGTCTTGTACGACACTCTTTCTGGGAAAGTCTTGTAGGACACTCTTGTGGGGCACTCTTGTAGGACACTCTTGTGGGGCACTCTTGTATGGACACTCTTGTGGGGTACTCTTGTATGGACACTCTTGTGGGGAACTCTTGTGGGGGACTCTTGTGGGACACTCTTGTGGGGCACTCTTGTAGGACACTATTGCCTGGCTGCCTCTAGGGTGAGGCTTCAGCGGCTGGGAGATTCCACTGGCCAGTCGAGGCGACGTCGGCGTTGGAGGCCTCCAAATCAAATAAGGGGTGGGGCAGTGTTCAGGCGCGACGCTTCAAATTTCAATGTCACACAACCGCAAACCCGCGCTAGCAGCTAGCGACCCAATTTGTTTTCGCGTGATGAAAATTTCAGCGCCTCACGTTTCCCGAGCTTGCGACGCTTGATTTTACAAGCTTCCAAGAATGGTTCATGAGACTCAGCGTCGCCGTTTACTGCCTCGCTGGTAGAGCTTGTAATTGGCGACGAGGTCATGGTTGACTGCGAGCTGGGCTCGTTCAAACTCAGTATCGCAAATCTTTCCTCCAAAGTCGGCTCCTCAATAGCTGTAGAGATTGCTTCTGAAGCTGCCGCGCAACTCCTCGCTAAATGCACCCGGTTCCAATCTCTTTCTTGCAGGGCCCGGTCAAGTAGCAACGTCTCCCGGGCAGCACGTATGGATTGCTGCGCGGCTGGCAGCGGTTTGATGGTCCGCCCTCCTTTGGGGTTGCACTGAGGCCCATGACATTCTCAAGCAGCAAGACCGTTGGCTTTGTGTCGAGTGTTCTCAAGTAATTCAAGATCCCTCCGAAGACCCCGCCTGTCCACAGTGAGGAATGCCCGACACAAGATCGATTTGCTTGGGTCCGGCTATGGGGGTTCAGATGCGAAACATCTGTGCATGGAAAGCGAGCTGCCAGCGTCTCGCAAGCCGGCGCAGGAACCAGACTGCCTGTTTTGAAGCACCACGCTTCTTGGTCCGGCAGGTCCATGACATCCCCAAAGATGTGTCCGACGCCAGGGTGGATCGTCCTGATGAACCCCCGCTTGTTGGGGTCCAGCTCGCTGAAACCTCATGTCCAGCTTCTCAAAGTTGCCCCACGACCGCCACCGCTCACAAACCGCGGCAGGAATCCTCTGGCTGCCTCTAGGGTGAGACTTCAGTGCCTAGAGGTCACAGATCCAGCGAAGGAGAGGGGTTGTCGTTAAAGGCCTCTAAAGAAGGGAGATTCCACTGATGGAGAGAGGTCATAGATCCAGTGAAGGCAAGGTCGTCGTTGGAGGCCTCTAAAGAATAGAGCGTCACTAAATGACCTGAGCCGCCAAAAGGAAACGCCACGCGTGCAGACACAGCAAACAGCTTCGCGGTCACGCGCCGAACGAACTCAGAAAAGCAAATGTCACTTTTACACATACAACGTGCCTGTTCTGTTCTGTCTGGCCTCCTATTCCTCGAGCCTCTGACTTCAGCCAGAAGCAGTTCTCAAACACACAACCGAAAGCACTATACAAAAGTGTGTTTGAACAACTGCTGCTCTGTCACACTTTCACATGCGCCGAACTGGGTGTTGAAGTGCAAAAGAGTGCAAACGAAAGAAGATTGCCACCTTTCTTACCAAAAGCCTCTCCGATGCTTGGGTTGTCGTTTAGGGGCTGGCCAGGGAAGATGGAGGGAAGCGAGACGGGAGGGACGGGAGGCGCATGGGTGGATGGGGACAGGGCTGGGAGGGAAGATGGAGGGAGCGAGACGGGGGGGGCATG